TGTAGTGTTTATTTTTATTAAGCATATTTGTCATAACGTGCAAGTGTGTTGAGTTGATGAAGTTAAATTAGCGCTTCACAGGATTTATTTTCATAGTATTGAATGGAGGATCTCCGGTCTCCACAAATGTATTTATAATAATTATAAGCAATTATTAACCAAAATAATAAAAGCATTATATCCACTTCTACTGCTGTTATTTAAATTTCATAATAGTATGAAACTGAATACAAGTATCTTGAATTTACCATCTCAATCAGTTATCAAAAATGTATTACTTATATTTAAATTAAAACCCATAGCTGATGTAATACAGTCATATTAAAATTTGATGTAACATTTAATCGTGTCAGATAAAACTCAATCAAAGTGAAATTCACATATAAAAATAATAATTTAAAATTACGTTTTGGATTCACATAAGTTTAATTAAAACAATATGCCAAAGGAGTTAAAGCAAAAGTATACGACACTAAAGTTAAATATAAACATGTAAACCCAAAAAGCAAAAATTAAATCTACTGCTAAATTTCTAAGTGTGTGCAGTGTGCAGATATGAATCTCCTCTACAATTTTATTCATCGGTATTTTTACAATAAAACTATTCAGTAAACCATATTCTATGAACGCGACAACGCGTAAATATGTTTTATAAGAAAATCGTTAAAAATTACTGCACGATCCTGTGAAATATCCTCTTAATTAGTTTTAATCGTTTCATTTATTAAACAACTGGAATATCAACAGATCCGATCCGATAGTGACTATTTTTAATAAGTTCAATATAGCCATATACTTTTATGGTTCGTGTGAATATACTGTGCACTGTGCAGAGTATAGTCTTATGTAGTATTACTAGTATTATTATAGTGAGTGTGACTGAAGTGTAAAATTAGTGGGAGGAAGTTCGAATATCATACCATTCTTTATAGAAGTTGTACCTACTTGTTTTCCGACAGACAGACAATACTCGAAAAACATACGTCTTACTTAAATTCGGTTTGATGTTAACTTAGTCATACTGTGGGTGTAACTCATCTAAAATTATACATATTAAAAACAAACTTAACGGGAAGATTAGAGAAGAAATTTGATACAAAATTGAACGATCTCAATAAATAATTAGGTACTTACCTAACTTCATACCAAATTTAAGTGTGTTTTTAAACTATCCTCACAATATTAATTTTATTTTTAATATAAAAATACCTAAGCCGGTTGGTCTTCGTAGAAATTTGGGCTTGGTATCGAATATTCATAAAAATACTTAAAACGATAAGAATCATTCATAACAATTCACATTTTCGTAACTTGTATCTAGAAAAATGTTTGTCATACACTATTAAAATGATAGTGATTTCTGAGTAAAGAACGTAGTATCTTATTTCACATAGGTGGTTGGCAATTCACATCATTTAAAATGACATTTTTCGAACCCAATACAAGGAATGAATGGATTACCAACCTTGTAGTAACTTGTTCTTTGATATTGTCATTTGTCAATGAAATCTTTTGCAAAAAGTTGGAAAGCTTGTTTTGTCACATAAACGAATATCACAGACCCAGTAAATACAACCCAGTAAATAAATATTAATACCTATATTAAATGTATGATATACGGATATCAATAACTTAAGATACGTATAATAAACGAATAATTTTGAAAGTTGTTAAATAAATACAAGAAGTTTTAATTATTAATATTTTAGCATTAAACATAATATTTTTTTATTTTTTTTGTTTCGACGTCTTTTCACTTTGGGAAGGGTAGAGTGCATGTAGCTCTTGTACCCCCTTCTCTAAGAAGAGAATATACACGTGTGCGGACATCACTCCCAGTGGAGTGGGTTCGGTGAGGGGGGCAGTATAGGCAACCAGAACGACGGCAGGGGAGAGACTACAAAAAACTCTGCAGAATATTTTTTGCACTGAGCCGGGTTCGAACTGGTGACTGCGCGCGTCGTGACCAACATGTGTGACCCCTTATTAAACATAATATGCTTAAGGTTGAATCACAAACCAGCTAACTTTTGTGAAATGCACTCGTATTTGTCCTATACATATTTTGTAGATGGTTTTTGAGAGGCTGTATAGCGGGAAGCATTAGTACTTCCAGGACATCTACAAATAAATTTTTGTAATATATCATCAACAATGATCCAGTTACTTGGGACTATTTCAATACATTGTTCACCCTCAAAAAACTCGATAATAACAAACTTGTTTAATTTAAGATTTTCAACAATAGTTACACTATTTGCGGATAAGTATGAATCTATATTTTTAAAAGTATCAAAAATAATTTTCAATTAATATATGAAATATTACAAAATAATCAATTATTTATTATGTTTAAAGTGGGTATTATTACTTTCATTAGCCAATATACGTCCAACTTTGTCATCCAATGCAGTGAATCAGCTTGAACATATTTCTCTGCTTCATTTTGCTGTTGTCCGAGGCAACAACAATGGTACAATAAAACTAATTGGTCTCCATACTAAACAAATAAAATACATGACTAATCTGTAAATATAAATATTTATTTTTAATAGATATATTTATTAAAAACTAGCACTTATTTCAAATTAGTTAAATTTAATAAACTATTACCTAGCTATAAATATGAAGCAATGAACATAAATAAAATTTATTTTGTTCCCATTGTAATTCTTTATCAGAAAAAGGAAAATAAGAAGCCTTGAAGCTGACACTATTAATATGAAACAATACTACATTCTACATTCTACTACATTCAAATATTCCAACTGAGATAGAAGAGCAAGGTGTTKTAAAAAGGATCAACTTTTTCAAACGTAGAACATACTGGGAAAATTTCTCTATTCCGTTCAACAATATTCTTAACAATGCATATAACATTTGATGAGATAATCACACAATCATCTTTTTTGGTACTTCTACTTTTTAGTTTTTTTAATTCGTAGAGTATATTATGTCGGCATGAATAAAACAGAATATTGAGGGACAGATTCAGCCCGTATATTTTCTGGCAATTGACCTTCATAATGATAACAATGGGAACATTGGGAACAGTGGTATTTCAGAAATATCAGTATGACTACATACACGTTCTTCTATGATACGGTTATGAAGTTGAACTAATGGACAAGGACCTGGTTATCATAATAATGTCAACATTCAAACTATAAATGTTTACAAAAAATTGTGTATTTTATATTTTTATATTTTAAAATTTTATCAAGTATAGAAAATTTCAATTTAAGTATCCAATAAAACTGTCATGTATGTATAGTAATTAGTTTTAGAGTTATACCACTTTGGGTTTTGACCTTCCCAATGCACCAATCCATTTTCCAACCGAAAAAGCTACTGAAGTTAAAAATTAAAGCATTATATTGACCACTTATCGTGTACATACACACAAAAAAATAAAATATAATTAAAAAAACACAAATCATTGAAAAATCAACACACTTACCGCTCCGCTCAAATTAAAAGAATTATAACACAATTTCTCAAAAATGCATGTTGTAAAATAGTTACCACGGGTGTAGGTAAATTGAGTCCCAAACTAAATTACTGTTTTTCAAAAGCGGTGAACTGAGTCCCTTGAAAAAAATTAAAGTGGTGAATTGAGTTCCTTGTAAAAAAATTAAAATAATGAATTGAGTCGATCGTATATTATTAGACTAGTTTTCAAAATTACCTACCAATATAAGAAGTAAAGAACTATGCATAAAATCGAAACACAATATAGAAAAGGAGAATACACTAAGAGAACAAATGACGAAGTACAAAAATTATGAAATCAGTAGACTTGACTTTATTCAGCTCGTATCATTAAAATATTTACCCGTTTAATATTAAGAGTATTATATTATGTATTATTTATTGAAAATTTGACACTATTTGCCTATTATTATAAGTATTATTATTGACAAAATTAATTATTATAAATTATTATATTATGTATTATTTATTCAAAATCTGATAACCTATTATTATTACTGACAAAATTACTAATAACTATTTATATTTATAAGGGACTCAATTTACCTATTACTTTTTTTTTGCGGGACTCAATTTACCAAATCCGAGTACCACAGTTATATCTTATTGATATTTTATTAATATTTTAAGTTCGAAATTGGATGAAATAAGATATTTAAGCGAAGAATAATTAGTTTAGTTATTGTGACCTTATGTGGTAGCCGGTAGGTAATAGTAAAATATCTAAATTACGTTAAAAAGTTTAATAAAAATAATATAAAATATACTTTGTAATAAAATTATAGGCTAACAAAAATCTACACTCAAAACCGTTTTTTATAAGCAACGTATTATATTATTAAAATTTTACTCCAATTTAACCCATTCCGTAATAGCAACCCCCTAAAAACCGTTTCTAGATAGCAAAGTGACTTAATTGGTTTTTTTTTTTTTTGATAAGAGCCAATACTATTTGCATTTCATAAATCTATAACAACTTATAGATATAACATTACGATATGTTAAGGTAACTTTTTTCTTATTTTAAAATTAATTACATTCATGATTGATTATTCATTCAAAATATGACTAACATTCAGATTTATTATATTATATTATTTATTTAATTACTTATCATGAATAAAAATAATTTTCAACAAGACCTTAGAGATAGTTACATATGTCACTGGATGGCACTTCACCCATGTTCATATGAGTTTTTTCATAAGAAAAACTTCGAAAGATAATAGTATTATACATTTAAGTTATTAAATCGAAAATAAATTCTAACCAATCGAAACCTATATATTAAATATTATCTTTTTTTCACCAAATAACTCAAATAAACTAGATAAGAATATAAGTGAATGWAAACTGATTTTAAATAAAACAACTTTAAAATATTTTGTTGTTTATATATATTATATTATATTATATCATACAAATTTCAGAGAAATGATTACTTATCGATTTAAAAATTCGAGTACTTGAACGTAGGTATATAAACAGTAAACATTATAAATCAAATTTCATTCTACTACTATTACAGTACGATCAACAATTGTGAGGTTTTAATTCAATTTCGGTAATTAATAAATTTAAAGCGACAAAGTTTTAACCATGGCTAGGGTTTTGATGTTATTGTCTGTGATATTCGTCAGTGTTTATGTGACAGAACAAGCATACTTTTTACAAAAAAATTTCATTGACAATATCAATRAACAAGCGACTACATGGCAGGTAATTCATTGATTATTTGGATTTAAAAAATTTCATGTTAAAATATAATGTTTATTCTATGAAATGATTGTTTTAATATATATAAAAATATATATATATATTACATAAATCACTAAGAAAGTATCAACATATATTAATATATTATTATACAAAATATATAACATCATGTTTGAAAAATTATGATTTTTGATTTTGGCGAAAGTATCAAGTATTTTTAAGTATAATCTTTTTTTTAGTTCAACAAAGTTTAAGAAAAAAAATCTTTTATGAGATATTGATTTGTTATATAAAAATATAATATTTCGTCAAAATTTTAACTTCAGACTATCAACAAATTTATTATAGAATTCTAAATTACGCTTATCATTTTATTTACCAATATTATTAAAGTTTGTATGTAGTTACACCAACGAAATAGGTAGTTTTTGAATGGGACTATTGTATCGCCAATAAATATTAACAAAGAATGACAAAGGCATTTGAACTGTTTCATCTTTCAATAACTTTAAGAGTTAAATTTCTAAAACTGCTGCATCAGTTTTAATACTGGACGTCCATTTTCAACAAAATTAACCATAAAAGAATTTTCCAAAACTTCAATCAAAGGTTGAAGTAATTTAAAGTCTTTAAATCAACCAAAGTCAGTATATTAACGCTCTATTTTATGTGCATAATCTACACAATTCATCTTTGTCACTTTTCCAACCAAACAATCTTAAATTTTAAATCAAACAGAAAATGCATCAAATTATGTGTTCTTAAGTGTCTGAAAAAAGTTCAAGCTTGTTTTTGAAACTAAAAATGTCTTGTACCAGATCATTTATGAATTTATTTTGACCTTGAAGAGACGCGTTTCATGTTGCCAAGCGATTTACAAAAGTTTTTAGYTTTAAAAAAAAAAATATATTTTAATAAGTTCTAATAAAGCGAACATTTTTTTTTAAATATTGTTAACTGTGATATGTAACCATTGAAATAAAATCCCTATAACTTTAAACAAAGTTTTTAAATTGACAATGTATCTTTGAACTTAAACGTACCCATTTAATTATATCTGAAGAACAACACTAATCACATATTAATATTTGAAATATTTAGCCATTAAGTGTTTCGTATGAATAATGCAATGAATTAAAATAGACTCAATTTTTGTAATAGATACATCTTCTTCAACTTCATGAAGTACTAAGTCAAGAGTATCCTTAATATTGCTACCTACTTTAGTAGTTTATTTGAGAGCTATAAGATTTAAAAACTCTAAAAATCTTCTCCAACTTTCACATTCATAGTCACATAACGATAAAGAACATAAATACTATAAATAGCTAACTGTAGTTTATACTTAATGTCAGTAGATCCATCTAACGCTATACTTAATGCAGAACAATATTAGCAGTTTTATTTTGTAAATTAGAGAAAATATCTATCCTAATCGCTGAAATATTCCTTACCATAATATGTCTACAATTTGAAATATTTTCAACTATATTTGATAATTTTTTATGTTCCGATTTTTAAATGAAAACAATATCTAAAATATATTTTGTTAAATATACCCCATCAGTATATGGCCACTTTGCTCGAGCAGTATTACATTCCATACAAAACTTACTTCAGTAGTCACAACGGATTCTTTTAAAAATATCGACATGGCATATTTAAGATTCTGGACATGAGCGATGAATCTGTTGACTTTACAATAATGAGTTTTTTTTATTTTAGATTCTGAGCGAAGAATGTACTGATTTTACCATGATGTGTGTGTCACGTTTTGGGGCAGTACAACTGCTTGGATTTTCGACTTTAGTATCTCGATCGATCAGAAAGTGAATCTAATTGGTACTTTAAAGGGTCAAAATTAAAAAATTCTCAATATTTTTCTAAGTAATCGGGAAAAGCAAACTAAAAATTAAGGGGAAAACGGGAAATTAAACGCACCATCAGTTTTCGACAACATCGATTTTGATTTTTGATGTAACTTTAAAACAAATGACCATATAGGTACACGCAATTTTCACCGAATGTTTATATACGTATAATCTATCCACCATGCAATTTTCAAAAATTTTCCACTTGAGTTAACTATTCATAAGCATATACAACTTTCGATCATCATTATAGTTTTTTTCAAAATTAGTATCGATAAAAAATTTATTTTTTGGGTAAAAAAGTTTGAAAATTTAATGCAAGATTCCTAACATATTGTTACAATAGCAGTTGAAAAATAAAATAAAATCATAGCCACAATTTTTTTATAAGTATTGAAAGTTTAAATTTTGACAACATACATAAAAATCACGGAAATTCGCAATTATTTTAAACTATAGAAATGCATAAAAAATTTTCTTATTAAATCTAAGATTTTAAAATTTTTAATAATCTATAATGTATCTTAGATAGATAAACCGTCTCCGCTCATCTCTTCGTATACGATGATATAATATCATGGGATTCAAATTTAATTCCATCCATTACTGTAACCCACTTGTAACCTACTGTACAGCTGAGCGACATCCACGAGTACCTTTTTTTATTTTTTGGTGTTTGTCACACAATAAGTTGTGGAAATAATGCTTCGATTTTCACCTTCAGTAGCTATTCCCGTGAAAAGTGAATCTATTTGGTGCATAGAGGATTATTATTATTACATGTCTATAATTGTCAGTAGTTTTCAAAAATATCAGTAAAAACAAAAAAATTAAGGAAAACGGGAATTTTAACACAAAATCGGATTTTGACAAGATTGATTTTGGATATGGTGTAACTTTAAAACAAATTACCGTAGATGCATAAAATTTTCACAGAATATTGATATTGACAATTTCTATATTTAAAAATTTTTCAAAATATTTCAAATATTTTTAGATTATTTATAGACATTTGAATTATTTTTTTATGAATAAATGTCAATAAAATATTGTAAATTTGGTAAAAAAAGCTTAAAAATTAAATACAAGTCTCTTAATATAATTTATTGTTACAATAATAGTTAGTTAAAATTTTAGCAAAATACGTAAAAATCACGAAATGTACATAAAAATTTATATTTTTTTATCTAAGATTTGAAAATTCAATACAAGATTTTTCATACATTTATTTACTTTTATTAAATAAAAAATGTTTTCCAGAAAGTGAAATTAAATTTCATTACAACATTGGATATTCACTCAATTATCTTGTACTTATATTCTTATTTTGTTGCTATTGAAAAACCAACAACTGTAGAATTTACACCATAATATGTTTATTCTACCAATTCCTATACTTGATGTAAATTTTACTTGATTCGAAATAAATAAAATAATGGATTGAAATAAACAATATACATATAACATACCAATATATTTAGTTAAATTATTAAACATACTACCTATAGCATATTATTGTATTGAACTGTTTTCAATAATAAACTTATACTTACTTATAATATACTTATCATAACATTTAACAAATAAGGCAGGTATGAACTTCAACCCAAATACTCCAAAGGAACAAATCCAAAAACTTTTGGGATCAAAAGGAGTACAAATCCCAAACAAATATAATATCAAAATGTACAAAACCAGCGATCCAAAATACGACAACTTATCCGACAGAATTCCAACGCGTTTTGATGCTAGGAAAAAATGGAGACATTGTTACACGATCGGAGCAGTCCGCGATCAAGGAAATTGTGGATCGTGTTGGGTGTGTATAAATATAGATTGTTCTGTGTCAATAATAGGACAATAATTTAAAACGAATTATCTATTTAGGCGGTGGCCACGAGCTCGGCTTTTGCTGACCGTTTGTGTGTAGCAACAGATGGAGATTTTAATGAATTATTATCAGCTGAAGAAATTACTTTCTGCTGTCATACATGTGGCTTTGGATGTCATGGTGGTTATCCAATAAGAGCATGGAAACAATTTAGTAAACACGGTCTAGTAACCGGAGGAGACTACGAATCTGGAGAGGTATGCGATTTATTTGAAGAAGAGTATTAATATATATTTACAGTAAAAGTCCAAGCCTGTGCGTGTTCATTATTAATTTTAATTGAAGTTAAGTTGATAAAAAAAATTTAAAAAAGTTTTAAGTAGATAGTTATCCTATTTATAAAGTTGAATGTTATATTGAAATTTGAGTTTGATCTTTAGGTTTACTCAACTTACATAATGTTTTTAGGGTTGTGAACCATACAGAGTCCCGCCGTGTCCTTATGATGATGATGGCATTAATACATGCGCCGGTAAACCTATGGAGCAAAATCACAGATGCACAAGAATGTGCTACGGAGAACAGGACCTTGATTTCGACAAAGATCACAGATACAGTATGATTTAGTTTAAATAAGTATTAAATCTGCTATTTTTACTTGGCACAGATATTTAGATCACCCTTACTTATATTTCTAGACAACAACATTATTAATTTTGCTACCAACGTCACTTACTTAGGCATTATTCTTGACACTAATTTTCGCTGGTTACCCCATATCACATCTCTTTCTACTTATTTATTTCGTTGGTCAAACTTCCTCAGGACTGTGATCAACACATTTTGTGGGAATGTGGGTCACATCCCTCTAGCTTATTATCTATCTATCGTTCAATCATACGTTCAAAATTAGACTATGGTTGCTTTCTTTTCGCTTCGGCTTCCTACTCCATCTGAGAAAAATTTAATACACTTCAAACGTCTTGTTCAACAATTATAATAGGATATGATAAGTCCACTCCTGGTCAAGCTATCGATTTTGAGACAGCTTTTCCTCTTTTTAATATCAATAACCTTGCCAGAAAATGTATTTTAAAATCTTTAGCTCATTCTAACCACGGATATGATATAAATATATAAATATTCGATATATACTATTCTCTGTTTATCAACGGCGATATTACCTCCAAAACCCGTCCTCTTAATCGCAGTCATCTCTTTAATTAACTTTCACCTAAATATTAAAAAATCAAATAAACTTCAACATTATGAGCAACCTAATGATTGTGCTTTAATCCCCTCCCCTCGTTCAAATTAATAACCTATATGATCTTGATCTATCGTATATTGAGCTTAAATCAATGTCTCATTCTATGGTTAATAAATATTTTTTAAATTACCTTAACCTTAATTTTCCCAAAATCATTTATAGTGACGGCTCAGTTTCACTCTATCAGTTGGATATTCTTTATACATACCTGAACTACACGTCTCTTTCTCCAACAATCTGCTCTCTTCGTCTTCTTCCTATACAGCTGAATGTTATGGTATTATTCTAGAAGCCTTTTTATTTATCTCATAATTTAGCTCCTAAAAATTACTTGATCGCTTTCGACTCTATGTCTTGTTTACAATATCTTGTATCTAAGCCTTTTAATTCTAAACTATCCTCTTTAGTTTTTCTAATTAAATCATATATAAATGTTCTCAACCAGTCCAATCACCTAATTTAACTTATATGGGTTCCAAGACATATCGGCATACATGGTAACGAAATGGCTGAAAAGCTCGCCAAAGCTATACCTCCAATACAATTTTACCCTCTCTTGTTTAACTACCAATTTTATCTCAATATTACGTCGAAATACTGTCAATCTTCTGTCTAACTACTGGAATAATCTGCCGGCCAATTCTGCAAATAAATTTAAAACTATTGTATACGTTATGGCTAAAAAAATCTTGGTTTAACGAACTCGATTTACCAAGGTCTATTATGGTCCGTTTTATCAGATTTTGGGTAAGCTATTCTCTTCTTCCAGTTCACACTTGGCTTAAATGACTCCCCTCTCTGCACACTATACATAACTGAAAGCATAGACATAACATAGATGAACTGCGCGTTCCTCTCCCCTCGCCTTCAATAAATTCAGCCATAATAACAAGACCTAAGAAGGTAAAATAGCTTGGATAAACATTTTTACTGTTTTTATTCAAGGTATTATTTGGTTTAAATAAAAGTGATAACTGATAATACTTGTAAAATGTAAAATATATAAACGTTTTCCCATGATTATTTACCTTCTACATAAGTTTATTATTGCTGACATGATAAGGGCTAAACGCGCAGTCCATCTATATTATGTCTATGATTGAAAGCTTCTATGACGTTTCGATTTGACTGTCAAACATTATATTTTAAGTGTATATCTCTGATCCACTATTTAAAGTATCTTAATACTCCCTCTAATCTACCATATATGCTCAATATTGAATCTGAAACTGTTATTAAAAAAAAAAATTAACTTAATATTGGAAGCTGGTTTCGTTATTTAATGTAATTTATATTATTTTTGTATATTTTTCCCACTTTTTACTGTGTTAATTAAATTGTATATTGATTTTTTTCTCCTACGTTTGTCATAAGTCTGTCTAGTATAATTTTATATAATTGTTTAATTGTATAATTATCGAGCTGTCATAGTTTCTAACTAAAATCTATTATAAAAAAAAGTATTAAATAAGGTTGAATGTGTTTAATCTATTGAATCATGATTATAGCACGTGACTACTACTACCTGACATACAGCAGCATCCAACAAGATGTTATGAATTACGGACCAATTGAAGCATCATTCGATGTATACGACGATTTCCTCAGTTACAAATCAGGTAAACGATAAGTACCATCGATTGTATATATTTATGATATGACGTGTTTTTGTGTTTCTTTTTTTTAATGATCATAATATTATTTCTTAATGAAATATTAACTTTTAAAGGTGTTTACATGAAAACTGAAAATGCTACATACTTGGGAGGACATGCCGTGAAGTTGATCGGTTGGGGTGTAGAAGAAGAAATCCCGTATTGGTTGATGATGAACTCGTGGAACACCAGTTGGGGCGACAACGGTCTCTTCAAAATTCGACGAGGCACAAACGAATGTGGTGTCGATAATTCGACAACTGCTGGTGTACCAGTAACCAACTAACTTTATTATTTTAATTTATTTTAAACAAAAAATAACGTCATTTTATTTATGTCTAAATAAAATCTATTTGAATTATTATATCTGTTTTGTACTTAATTTTTTTTTTTAAGATATTTGAACTTAGTTGTTTTGAAGATTACCTTCATAATAATGTATTCAATATTTGTGTGTTACTTTAAAATTATACTGTATACTGTATCCTATATAAAGTTCGTAAATTAACTTATTAACAAAACTATATAGTTTAGTTAAAATCAAGTATTTGATGATTTTAAACCAATAAATCTTTAGCTATAACGTCCAATTCTAATCGTGACACGTCATTTGATCCGATAAATAATATCCAGCGACAAATGATCCGGTAGATAATAACCCGGTGACAAAATAACCGGCATCAAAAATATCCCGTGACAATGATAACCGGCGGTAATCAGTTTTCTGGTTTTCGTGTTGTATACAGCACATTAAAACCTGTAAAGTTTTATTAAACGTTTATTGACTAAAGTTTTACTTTTAATAAAATTAAATATGCCACTCACATTTGTTAAGAGTCAAAAAGGCAAAAAACTTTTATCATTACATGGTTATTTACATAATATACATAAAAAATATGATGAAAAAATTGTGTGGCGTTGCACGGACTACAAACAATTTTCTTGTAAAGGCCGATGTCATACTACAACAGACAGTGAATCAGGTATTAAATTATTTTTAATTAAATGCAATTAAAATTTAAAAAAAAAAGTACAATAGTCAATAATACACGTTAAATACCTGACTAAAAATAGAAAAGTTTCGATAACACTATACAAGTCATAGTTTTAGATTACCTAACCAAAAATATGTAAAAAAAACTTGTTTTTTTATTATATTATTATTTTAATATTTTACTAATAATAATTACTAAATAAAATGCAATTAATAATAATTTGTATAACTAGAGCCAGGATTTGTATATTTTTATACAATTTTTATATATTATTATATTATACCTATATTATTGTAATATATATAAATWWAAAAAAAAATTCAAGGGAGTTAATAAAAGAAACGGATCATTGTCATTCACCAAATATTGCTCAAGTCRAAGCTAAAAAGGTGGKTWATTCTATGAAAGAAACAGCTGCAAATGAACAAAAAAACACAAGAAGTATTATCAGCGAAAATCTCGTAGATGTACCTGTTCCGGTAATAGGACAATTACCTACAACTAAAGCGTTATCTAGAATAATTCAGAGAAACGATTTGATCATTCCTGATTTATTTAAATACCCTAAGAAAAATGAATTATTTCTAACTTATGACAATGAAAATAATGAAAACAGAATTCTAATATTTTCGACTCAAAGTAATTTGATTGAGCTTCAAAAATCCGATAATTGGTAAAGAACAAATAATGCAGTAGAGGGGTGGCATAATGCATTTAATTCTTCCATAGGGGTTCATCATACAACAATATGGAAATTTATTAATTTTATTAAAACTGAACAAAACTTGGTAGAAGCTAAAATAGAAAAAATTAACTTAGGAGAAAGCCWTGCATCAAAAAGAAAAAAATATAAAGATTTGGACCAGCGAATAGAAACTGTTGTATTAAATTACCAAAGAGGTGATATATTAAATTATTTAAAAGGTATTGCTCATAATTTAAATTTTTAATCATAAATGATATATATTTATCATATTAACCTAACAATTATTATACTTGAATTTATATTTATATTATAATATTATATATTTTTTGACTGTCAATAATTTTGATTTCATATAATTATTATTTGTCATAGAAAAACAATTACATTTATAGTTTTATTATAATTATTTTTTGACTCAATAGTTTTGATTTTATATTATTTATTTATCATAATATAAACACCGGACATTTTTAACCCGGTTAATTTGTGTACAGGATATTTTTGCACCGGATCTAATGACGCGGATCATTTGTCGCCGGATATTATTTACCGGATCAAATGTCGTGGAACCAACACAGTTACATTTTTTGAATGTACTTTATTTATATTTTTTCGTTGGTAATTAAATTACTTCAGAATACTATTCATCATTCTGAACTATGTTAAGTAGGTATCATATTTAAATTATTATTTTACTAATTCTGAAAATGCACTCGAATTGTATATTATGTATTATGAATTTTAACCTTTTAGTGCCAAAGATTGGTTCTTGAGAAGCCACAATGAGGGAGGGTGGAAATATTTTACATATATTTACAATATACATAAATTTTATTTTTTTCATTGCTTTCATATTTTACACGGCCCAATAAGAAGAGGAGGCGGTCCACCTATTCGCCCGTAAAACCGCCACTGTTAGCATACATATTATAGGTATAGTACCGCATACATAATATATATTAGTTATTAGGTACTCACAGGGCTCGAAACTTAGGTAGTAAGCTTAAAAAATATTTAATGTAAATGCATTTAAAAAAGTCCAACTAATATGCAATTATAATTTATCATTCATACAAATATTTTATTATGATAATTTTTATATTTTATTATTTTAACCTACATAAACAGAGAATCAAAAGTCAATTTGTGATTTGAAAAACACGATAAAACAATATCTAGTGAAAACTCTCAAAAAAGATATACATTATAATGTATTTATTTTTTTGTCAATAATTATTAAATTCTATTGTAAATTTATCAATAATCATATATTATATATATTTTATATTACCTATATCAATAATCACCAATTAGGTTTGAAAAATTAAAATTAAAACATATTCTTAAAACTAAATATGAAAAACTAGAATATTTACCACAAACTTTTAATATTTTTACATAGTGTCATTGCAATAATTTCAAACTTATTTACCAATAATTCTAATAAAAAAAAAATATCATGAATAATGCAAAAACCTCCTATCAGTGGCGGTCCTTGACCAATTCCAGGGGGGGGCGAAAAATTTGTCACATTAAATACAATAAGTACTCAAAAATAGGAATCATAAAAAAATTTATTTCATGTAATAATTTTATATTTTATATTTAACCAAGGGGAGCGATCCACCGATCCCCCCTCCCGTAAAAACCGCCACTGATCATGGTTACCTATATTTATTTGATTATAATTCTACTTACAAATGTACCTATTAAGCGATGGATGCCTGTGTTTTTGTTTTGTTTTTTTTTTTATTGAAAGAATAGTATTAAAATAACAATTGTTTAGAATTTTGAATGTTAGATATACAATCTAGATCGTAGTGAGTAATTTGTTGTTATTATTTATAAATATTTCAAGGTTTTTAGTACAAATTTACTGGCAAGTGGCAACTTTTACTTTTTAACTTATTTAAGTACAGCTTTGTCAGTATATATGTAATTTATAAGCATTAAAGTTTTCTAAAATATTCTAAGTAGGTAATGAAATAATTTAAACAACAAAAGAGCTCAGTTCTCTTTTCAAAAACA